CTACGACTCAGAGCATTTTGAAAAATAAAATTTATTTCTCCCATTTGAATATGGGAAAGAACACAATTGTTACTATCAGTGGTGCATCGAAAATGAGTGAAGGCTCAGGAAAAGCTACCGTATATCTCCCAAAAGAGACAAAAATAGCAATTGAAAATGCCTTGTTCTCGAGCAAAGTTTGAAGGAATTTACTAAGCTTCAGTGATATTCGAAAAAATGGGTATTACATTGAAACATTGGATGAGGCATAAAATGAGTATCTCCTGATAACTCAAATTGTGAATGGCAAAAGAATTGTGAAAGAAAAATTGCCATCATTTTCTTCTGGCTTATATTATTCAAAAGTCAGTGCCGTTGAAATATATCACCTAGTAGACCAAATGGCTGCTAGCGAATTTAAAACTTGGCATGATCGACTTGAGCATCCTGGCAATGTAATGCTGAGACGAATTGTTGAAAATTCAAATGGTCACTCATTGAAAAAGAAAAATATTTTGAGTCCGAATGAATTTTCTTGTGTTACATGTTCCCAAGGGAAGTTAATAATCAGGTCATCTGCAACAAAAGTTGGATTTGAATCCCCAGCTTTTCTGGAAAGAATTCAGGGTGATACTTGTGGACCAATAGATCCACAGTGTGGACCCTTCAAGTACTTTATGGTACTAATCGACGCGTTAATGCGATGGTCACACGTATGCCTGTTATCTACTTGCAATCTAGCTTTCGCTAGACTACTTGCACAAATAATTAAATTGTGAGCACAATTTCCAGATCATTTTATAAAGAAAATACGTTTAGATAATGTTGAAGAGTACTCATCACACACATTTGATGATTATTGCATGTCAATTAGGATTACTGTGGAAAATCTTGTTCCCCATGTACATACACAAAATGGCCTAGTTGAATCCCTTATCAAAAGATTGCAATTAATTGTTAGACCATTGTTAATGAGGTCTAAACTTCCCGTATCATGTTGGGGACATGCTATATTGCATGCAGCAACCCTCGTGAAAATAAGACCGGCAAGTTATAACTGTTATTCCCCTACTCAGTTGGTTTTTGGAAAAGTACCAAATATATCTCATCTGCAAATTTTTGGGTGTGCTGTTTATGTGCCAATTGCGCCACCTCAACGCAAGAAGATGGGACCTCAAAGAAGGTTGGGTATATATGTCGGGTATGAATCACCCTCGATTGCAAAATATCTTGAACCAACAACGGGTGATTTATTTACCGTAAGATTTGCAGACTGTCATTTTGATGAATCTCATTTCCCGACATTAAGGGGAGACAGTAATCAACTAAAAAAAGAAATTTCGTGGAAAACACCACTTGAAATTTGATCCTCGTACGAAACATAGTGAACTTGAAGTTCAAAGAATTGTGCATTTGCAGAAAATTGCAAATCAATTGCCTGATGCTTTTAATGATGCTGCTAGAGTTACGAAATCATATATTGCAGCAGTAAATGCACCAGCTAAAATAAATATACCAGAAGGGAAGGTGCCGAGTGTCAATGAGCATACTGCCCGCGTAAAACGTGGCAGGCCGTTGGGTTCCAAGGATAAGAATCCACGAAAGAAGAAAATTTTAAATACTGGTGAAGAGATCAACAATGATCAGATACCTGAAAAGGTCAATACAACCCCTGAAGAGGTTTATACTAAAAATTCTGATTAAAGTGAGGATGGAGTTATAGAAACTTCTATTAACTATACCAACAGTGGAAAATATTGGAATAGAAAGAAAACAAATATTGATAATGCATTTGCATATTCTGTAGCACTCGATATAATGAAAGATGACGAAGATTATGAACCAAAATCAGTTGATGAATGTCTGCAAAGAGATGATTGGGCAAAGTGGAAAGACGCAATTAAGTCTGAATTGGACTCATTGAATAAACGGCAAGTATTCGGACCCATAGTCCAAACACCTGAAAATGTGAAACCTGTTGGCTACAGATGGGTGTTTGTGAGAAACAGAAATGAAAATAATAATATCACAAGATATAAAGTAAGGCTTGTAGCCCAGGGTTTTTCCCAAAGATCGGGTATTGACTTTGAAGAAACATATTCGCCGGTCATGGATTGAATAACATTCAGGTATCTAGTGAGCCTGGCAGTACACAATAATCTTAATATACGATTAATGGATGTAGTTACTGCGTATCTTTACGGCTCTTTAGACAATGACGTCCACATGAAAATCCCAGAAGGGATCAACATACCTGAATTATTCAAATCAAAGCCAAAAGAACCATATTCCATCAAATTGCAAAAATCTTTGTATGGGCTCAAGCAATCGGGCCGAATGTGGTACAATCGTCCCAGCGAAAGCTTAACCAAAGAAGGTTACATAAATGACCCTATCTGTCCATGTGTTTTTATAAACAAAAATGGGTCTGAATTTGTAATCATCGTTGTATATGTCGATGATCCCAATTTAATTGGAACTCCTGATGAAATCCAGAAAGCTGTTGAATATCTGAAAAAGGAGTTTGAGATCAAAGATTTTAGAAAAACTAAGTTTTGCCTTGGTTTGCAAATTGAGTATTTGGAGAGTGGAACCTTTATCCACCAATCAAATCATACGAAAAGGGTACTAAAACAATTTCTGATGGATAAGTCACATCCGCTAAGCACCCCAATAATCGTCAGAGCACTCGATCTAATAAAGGATTCATTTACACCAAAAGAGGAAAATGAAAAAACGCTTGGCCCACAAGTGCCATATATGAGTGCTATAGGCACATTGATGTATCTTGCTAACAGAACCCGACCTGATATATCATTTGCTGTAAATTTATTGGCAAGATTCAGTCCATCGCCTACTCGACGACATTGGAATGGGATTAAGCACATTTTTTCGCTATCTCCAAAGAACAATGGATCTCGGGTTATTTTACTCGAAAGATTCTCGACATGAATTGATTGGTTTTGCCGATGTAGGATACTTATCTGATCCTCATAAAGCCAAGTCACAAACTGGCTATATATTCACTTGTAGTGAAACAATGATCTCTTGGAGATCGATGAAACAAACTTTAACTGCCACTTCTTCAAATCATGTTGAAATATTGGCAATACATGAAGCTAGTTGAGAATGTGTTTGATTGAGGTCAATGACTCAACATATTCTGAAAAATTGTGGGTTAATACTTGACGATAAAATTCTCCCAATTACATTGTATGAAGATAATACGGCTTGTATAGCCCAATTGAAAGGGGGTTACATTAAAGGAGATAGAACGAAACATATTTCACCAAAATTCTTTTTTACTCATGATCTACAACAAAATAGTGAAATCAATGTGCAACAAATTCGATCAGATAATAATTTGGCGGATATATTAACCAAGGCGTTACCGACTGCAACATTTGAAAAATTGGTAAAGAAAATTGGAATGCGTCGGTTCAGTGATCTCAAATAATGCTCAGATCAGGGGAGAATCAATACAAGAATGATGTACTCTTTTTCCTTCACTAGGATTTTTTCCCACAGAGTTTTTTCCTAATAAGGTTTTAACGAGGCACATTCTTTGTATAAAGCATAAGGGGGAGTGTTATACACGTAGCCGCTACAAATCCATTTATGTAATGTATACGTAGGCAAAATGTGGTGCTTTCATAGCCGAATGTATTGAATGTATTTGCCTATAAATAGGCATTACACAATAAAAGGAATAAGATTCAGTTTCATTCACTCGCTTATGCTCTTTTCATCCCTCCATTTTATTAATTATTAGCCTAGCATATTATATATACATATATCACTACACTAACATACACACAACACATATATATATATATATAAAAGCATACACAGCGCCACACACACACTTATATCTATTTACATATATTTATATACACAATATATATAATATAATACAATATATATAAAATAGTGTTAACAGTAAAAATAATTAATATTTCTATTGGTTATCCCTATAATAATATTACAACACACATAATGTAATTTTTTTTTCTTAAGAAAAATTAAAAATATAATGTCAATCCAGATGGAGATTAACCTAACGCACTTAAGTTGGATAAAATAAACTTAAAGCAAAAGTTATTTTTGGTCTTATTGAATATCATTATTATTAGTTTTGTTCCCATATAAAATTTTCTTATCAATTTTGGTCAAACTCAAATAAAAATTTATCAATTTTAATCTCATTATAGTTGATTGAGACTGAACACAGCCGTTTTAATTTGAACACAACCGTATTTGATGACTCAAAAGGGTGATTAGAGGCCCCAGACCACCAATACGGCAATAGTGGGCTCAACACAACTGTGTTGATTATTCTGAACTGAACATGACCGTGTTTATGCCCCTGTTCACGACCATGTTCTGAACACAGTAGTTTTTTTGCCCGTGTTGATATCCTGTTCTCAATACAGCTATGTTTTTTCCCATGTTCACAATTCTATTCTAAACATAACCATGTTTTAAGCTAGGTTCATGACTCTATTGTAAGTCATATTTATGATTATTTTTACTTCTTTGTTAAAATTATTTGATATATATTTATAATTCAACAAAAATATTTTTGATAATTATTTCGTAATATAAAAAAATGATCAATTTTGTATATTTTAAAAAATAATTACAAAAAATATATATATAAAAATAATAATATATTAATATATATTTTTAATATATTTTATATTTCTAAAATTATAAATTAAAATTATTTTTAAAATTTTTTTATAAATTTTTAAATGTATATAAATTATTTTATATCTTATACTATTTCTAAAATTGTAAATTAAATTTATTTTTAAATTTTTACTATAAATTTAAAAAATTCATATTAATACATTATTATTTTTATATTAATTGATTTAAAATTTGATAAATTTTTATTTAAATAAAACCAGAATCGATAAAAAAATTTATTAGGATTAAAATTGACAATATTGAATGGGAGAAGTTTTACTCCTAAACTTAGCTCTTTTATTAAGGAGTGATAGGCTTTGAATGCTTTTGACGTCACCTATAAAATCTTTCTGCAATCGCTGGAAGGATCATTATTTCTGAAACCCTAGCCTCCACCGCACCGATCAAAACCCTCACATTTCTGAATCGCCATGGGCAGAAAGCGAAGATCCCGCGCTCCCGAAGGTACACAGGAGTCCGGGCTGGCGGAGGCCAATGAACCGGCTGTGGAGACGGAGCCGGATCGGGAGTCTGAGCCTCAAAGTGAGGATACGCACGAAACAGCGCTTGGAGAAGACCAACCTGTCGGTGAAGATGTGAATGAAGAGGGGGGAGAGGGAGAGGAAGATGGCGATGGCGAAGAAAGGGAGCTCGGGAAGACGGAGGAGATGGATAAAGACGCCGGTGAGGAGAAAATGGAGCAAGACAGTGAAATATCCGAGAAGCGGGCCGTTTCGGAAAATGGAGTTGAGAAGGAAGGTGAGGACGAGTTAGAGGAAGAGCCGCTGGAGAAGCTTCTCGAACCCTTTTCTAAAGACCAGTTGACGCTTCTGATTAAGGAGGCGGTTGCTAGGCATCCTGATATAATGGAGAATGTTCACAAGTTGGCTGATGCGGATCCAGCGCACTGCAAAATCTTCGTTCATGGCCTCGGATGGGATGCGAGCACGGAGACGATTACTCCTATATTTGGTAAGTACGGGGAGATCGAGGATTGCAAAGTTGTTAGGGATAAAAACTCTGGGAAATCGAAGGGTTATGGGTTCATTCTTTACAAGCACCGGGATGGGGCGCGAAAAGCTCTGAAGCAGCCTCAGAAGATAATTGATGGTAGGATGACCTCTTGCCAGCTAGCGTCTGCAGGGCCAGTCCAGACGCCGCCACCTCCTGCCGCAGTTTCAACGCCTCCTGTGTCAGAGTATACACAGAGGAAGATTTATGTGAGTAACGTGTCTGCTGAACTTGACCCAAAGAAACTATTGGAGTTCTTCTCGAAATTTGGAGAGATTGAGGAAGGGCCTTTAGGGCTGGATAAACAGACTGGGAAACCTAGGGGTTTCTGTTTGTTTGTGTACAAGAGTGTTGAGAGTGCAAAGAAGGCATTGGAAGAGCCACATAAGAATTTTGAAGGACATATTGTGCATTGCCAGAAGGCTATAGATGGTCCGAAGCACAGCAAGGGTTTCTTCAACCAGCAGCATGGCCAGCCCCAACAGCAGCAGCAGCAGCAGCAGAATCAAGGGTATTACCACCAACCAGCAAAGAAGGGGAGGTATGCTGGAAGTAGTGGTGTGGGGCACACTGGTGCGCACCTGATGGCGCCTAGTGCAGGGCCAGCTGTTCCTCCAGTGGGGTTTAATCCTGGAGTTCCTCCCGCTGCATTAGGGCAGGCTGTGGCGGCCTTATTGGCCACGCAGGGGGCTGGATTGGGCATCGGAAATTTGCTTGGTGGGATTGGAGGAGGTCCGCAAGGAGTGCCATCTATGATGAATAATCCAGGCTATGGTGGGCAGGGTAATGCTGGTGGCTATGGAGGTCAGCCAGGTATGCAGGGAGGCGGCTATGGTGGCCAGCCACCAATGGGTCAAGGTGGTGTTCGGCCACATCAGGGTGGTGCACCCTACATGGGCCATGGTCGCTAGGTAAGTGAAGGTATGTATCTGCTTGCTTGTTACTAAAATTCTTAAACTTTCAAGTAACATTTCACATGTGTTTGGAGCTAAGCTTTTTACCTGTTCTGGTAGAGGATTAGTTTGCATTTGAGATTAGGATCAAGTTATAATTAACTTGTCTTCACTTGAAAGATATGAAGTAATTGGAACGCAAAATGGAGCTTGAGTCTCTATCAATTTGTTGTAATTTAACTCATATGAGCTGAACTTATATGTAATTATGTTTAATTAAAGATGAACATGGGTGCATGGTCTCTATATTGGCTTGAGAATTCGTACTTGCTATTACGTAGACCTCCTTGTGGATCTTCCTGCTGTGAACCATACTGAATTTTCAAAATAAAAGAGCGATATAATTTTGGGATGGGATGGGATGGGATAAAAAAATTATATTTTCTGATATATGATATGCAAGGCTCATTATTATAATGTAATTGTGTAACCACTTTTGGCATCTTTCTTCCGTCTGGATTTGCTCCTATATAGAGAATAACTTGACTATATCCAGCACCTAGTATTTATGTGGTTTTTGTATTCAGGATATAATGTTTATAATTATTTTGGTTGGTGAATATTTTTTGCCTTGGTGGACTATCATGCTTCTATTCTAGTTAAATGTTAAAAACTTTTTAATGGTAAATGTTGGCTTCAGCTTATTTGTTTCTTTGAATAAAAATAAGTTTCTTTCCAAATGTCTTTTTATGATTTATGTATTCATTGTGCAGATTCTTCATAAATGCATCAAACTTTTAGTTTTGGACTCTGGTGACTCTTCTGAAGTTCGGGCAATCATGCAAATGAAGTCTTTCCTTGTAGCAAAAAGATAATGTTTGCCTAAAGAATAGAGTCTAAAACCTGTATTAGTTTACTGAACTCCTGTCTGTTGAATATTTTTAAAAATTTTATCTTATTTCGGTCTATTAACTTTTCAAGGGAGTGAGAACTATCGCTAATATTTCTACTTCTTTTTCTAATACTCTACATCTGTCTCTCCCTGATTTTGAAGGGTTTTTATTTGTCCTTCTCTATTTCCAACATTCATTTTCACCTGATAATCTCTTATAATTTTGCAATATATTTGACACTCTACACTTTATGTTGAATTCTTATAAATGCTTTTTTCTTATTCTGCACTGTCCAAATTTGGAATTACTGTGTTGCTTTGTGTTTTAAATGGGTATAGTCTGCTAATTGTAGCCAAAAAGTTAAATTTATTGCTCTTGATAATATACTGCAAGGATGACATCTTTAGTTGATGGATTGTTGACTAACACTCCTCATAGTTTGATCTTAACAGCTCTGTTGCAGGATATTTGTAATGCAGAGAAGCTAACAATATCAGTGCTGCTGCCACATATTGCCTTGTCTTGTTTGTTTATTGCTTGCTCATGCAGTTAGACTTAAGGGCAAACATTAAATACAAAATTTCTATTTCAACCAACATTGCCCATTCACTTGATTTAACAAAAAGATGCTGCGTCATAATTTTGCATTTTATCCACTCACTTCAAGCAAACCATTCTGCATGATGGCATTAACTTATTTTAACCACAGATACTTAGTCAAAGTTATGCATTTTGCCCTTTCACCTATTTTAAAGCAGATGTGATTCGGTTTGCATGTTGCCTTATTTTAAGCAGGCAACACTTCAAATTTTGTGTTTGATGCTGTAGGATGTTTTTAAAGTCTATATGCATTTTACTAAATTATAGCAGCCGGTTTTTGTTGAGAAAAGATTTTCTTCATGATTTGACTTGTCAACATTCTTAGATTCGGAAAGTTGGAAGGTTTCAATTTTGCTTCAGCTTCATTACCTTACCCAGATTATTTCTACAAATTTATGCTTCAATTTTTGGATTTTGCTTTAGTTGATATTTCCTTAAAGCTTAGTTAGAAACCCGAACTCACTGTTCCTTAAAAGCTCTAGTTTGATTTTCTTGGGTTTTTACTGTTTGGGGGTTGACCTTCATTGTGGCTGGGCTAATGATCAGAAGTTGATACCTGATGAGCAGCAGCAGCAGCAGCAGTATCTTTGCTGCAAATGGTTACTATAGGTTGAAGCGATACTTGTCCTGGAAGCCATGAATCATCTGGTGGTTAGATTGAGTAGGATTACCCTTGTGAAGAGCCTTGTCTCCATATTCCTATGTTTTTAAAGCAGGTCAGAATCCGGTAAATGTTACACACTTTGGATATTGTTTTTCTTTTTTTTTTTTTTTTGTTAAAAGAAAATTTATGAACCAGATATGCATTCACCTGTCAATTAGTGTGGTCTGTGGTTTTTTCTCACCTAACTGTCATTTAGACGTTTAGTTGATGGCTGCTAATCTTCCTGGTCGTCAAGTAGTTTTAATTTGGGAGTTGTGAAAAGCTTTTGGTCTTCAGTGACTTTGTTAGGATGGGTTGGCCCCAATCTACAGGCATTAAATGGGACCAATCTAGTCTGTCTTTACCATCTAATCTTAGGGGTTTTTTTATTTTTTATTTATATATATATATATATATATATAGAGTAAAAGTTGCATTAGCACAAGTCATGTTTCTAATGGAACATGCATTTTATAGAACACTACTGAACGTATCACTAGATATTTCTTTTGATGCATTCGTTGTTAATCTATTCCCTTTGTCTCAATAAGTTTTTGAAGAAAAGTTTTAGGTTTGACTGAGTATTGAAGTTCACTAGAATATGACCTTAAATTATAACGTCTGCTTATCCCACTGGTCTTTTAAGTCGCTTCAAAAGGTACTTGTATAATACATATATATATATATATGTGTGTGTGTGTGTGTATGCATGCAAGTACGTAGGCAACAGAGCTTTCAAGTGAGGAAGTGCTCCAAATCCTGCTTCTTAATCCTTCCCAAATATACCAAATTGGTTCTTGCTCTCGGCTAGCCTTTTCATATTGCCAATGCTACTTCTCAATTTTCTTTTACAATAATTTTAAAATGTATCACAAAATATTGCATAAGTCTGGTTTTCAATTCTTATGGCTTGGTTTGTCTTCATGTAGTTTAATTAGGTGCGTATTGCCTTCAATTGAAGTTATGTTGTGGGCATATTTTTCCTCTAGATGTCGAAATCAAAATCGTATGTGTTTAATATGTCCCACATTGGAAAAATATGGGATCTTCCATTGGCTTATAAGGGTGATGAAGGTCACTCCACCTATCAACAATTGGTTTTAGGTTGAAAGTCTGGATCCCTTCCTAATATGATATTAGAGCTATGATGCCCGTGTTGGGTTTGGATCCTGCATGAATTTTTGAGATTATTATCATCTCGAGGAGGAGTGTTGAATATATCCGGGTCACTCCACATACCATCAATTGGTTTAAGGTTGGAAGTCCGGATACCTTCCTATAAATATGGAAGAATAAATGTCATCTCTACTTGAGTATTATAATAGTAATCTCTTTATATAATCAGTTCTAAATTGAGCCATTGTATTTGGTGTTTCTGCATTCATGTTGGAATGGCGATTTCTTGTTCCACTAAGATTTGATCAGATTTTGTGAAATACTACTGCAATATTTTTATATTTGTTGTAAATATTATTATAGGAATAACAAATAGGAATATTAATTATGTGTATTGTTTTTCACTCGCGTGTGTGTATATATATATCTTATATAATATATATTATGTGTGTATATATATTGTTATATGTATGTATTATTGATGGATGTATGTATGGATGTATATATATATATATATATATGTTTATAGAGATGGACATGTGATTGAGAAATTGGTGGAGGAAAGTCTAGTGCTTTTATTTCATTTTACTCTCTCTCTCTCTCTCTCTCTATATATATATATATCCTATTTATAGGATGAATTAGCCGATTAAGTGAATGGCTGGAAGTTGGCCAATTCCTTTCTCCAATTACAAATTAATATGTAGTTAACTTGCGTTGTATAGACGCATGTGTATGATATATATAATAAAACATCCTCCCTTGATGCAAAAAACCCTGTGATAAAAAAAGTCTCAGTGAAGGAAAGAGTGCATCATTCTTTTAGAATGTGTTTGTTTCAAGGATTTTGAGAGATTTTCACTAATTCATAGATACATAGTTATGAGACAGAAAGGGAGTATAATTTTTTTTTTAATAAATATCAAATTAAATAACTGTATTTTTATTTTTTATATTATATTAAAATTTAATTTTATATTTAAAATATTTCATTAATATTTATGAGCAAGAATCAAAAGTGGTACTATTCAATATTACTTCTGACATTTTTAGTCTCATTAAAAATTAATCTCATTTAAAAATATTTTTATCAAGTTTAATCATTTTCTTCACAACCAATGGACAATAGTGACGGGGACATAACAAAATTTGGTATGGAAGCTAATAATTCGAAACAATGGACAATAGTGTCGGGGACATAACAAAATACGGTATGGAAGCTAATTCGAATAAAACATGGGAGTTCGAATTAAACACGGACATGGTATGAAAGCTAATTTGAATCAAACACGGACGTGTTTGAATTAATATGGCCGTGTTTATACAATCACCCACCCTTTTTTCCTTTTCTCTAGCTCGGCAATTATTATTATTATTATTATTATTATTATTATTATTTGGGAATGATCCCTCTGGCTTTGTTCAATGAAGATGCAATTATGGTATATTTGAATTGCAGCAGGGCATTTTCATGATCAGAAAATTAAATAAATGGTCGTGTTTGAGTATATACATACATATATATATGTGTGTGAAAGAAATGAGTAGCATTTAGAGATAGGAAGAAGTGAGGTGACGTGAAATGAATATGTGATAGGATAAGTATGACGTGGGTGTATATATATCCGGAATATTTAATATAGAGATGAGGGAGAAGTGGAGGAGGAAGTAAAAAAATTGTTGGTGATTACAAAAACACGGGCATGTTCATTGGAACACGCCTATGTTTGTTACAAATTAATTTACACATTATACTACGTTTCGTTAATGTTAGTGTTGTCCGTTAGCTCTGAATAAAAGGATCAAATTTGATAAAAATATTCTTAAATGGTACTGAATAAAAGGATCAAATTTGATAAAAATATTCTTAAATGGTACTAATTTTGATTAAATTTTTTGAATGAGACTAAAAATGATAAAAGTGATATTGAATTGTACCATATTTTATTTTGCTCGTTACGTATTTGTATTATATCATATAACTATTTCAATTCAAATTTTTTATTATTCAAATCTCAATTCAAAATTCAAACCTCCAAACAAACACACCCTTATTGATTTACCCTCATTGATTTGAATTTTACTTGAGATCTTTAAGCCGACATATTTTAATTCTTTTCACCAATTTGTTGAATGTTGTTGTCGGTATGACATTAGTTAATAAATCTGCAAAATTATTAGATGATCAGATTTGTTGCACATCGATTTCACAATTCTTTTGCAAGTCATGGGTAAAGAACATTTTTTGGTGAAATATGTTTTGTCATATATGTTTAATATATCCGCCTTTTAATTGAGTTTTAATTGAGTAATGCAAGCTGCATTGTCTTTATATATAGCTGGGGGGTTTTCATTTTTCGATATTAACTAACAATTCTTTCGAATGTGATGGGTCATTGACCTCAACCAAACACATTTCGACTGACTTCATAAATAGCCAATACTTCGGCATGATTTAATGATGTGACGGTTATTGTTTGTTTGGTGGGTCTTCAAAAGATCACAGTATCACCATATGTAAATATATAGTCGGGTTGAGATTTTGCTTTATGCGGGTCAGACAAATACCCAATATCGGCATAGCCTAATAAATCGTGTCGAGAATTATTCGAATAAAATAGGCCAATGTCACTCGTCCCTTAAAGATAGCGCAAAACATATTTAACCCATTCCAATATCATTTTGTAGGAGATGAACTGAATCTGGCCAATAAATTTATGCAAATGTAATATCTGGCCGTGTGCTATTTGCTAGGTGACACGGTCTGACCGTGTATAATTATATCCAAAGTATTTTTCTTATCCACAAAGTTTAATAGAATCAATAGATTCATGAACAAAGAAGAAAAAATAGTACAAAGAATGTCAATTAATATGGATGATAGCCAATCACGAGAATAAATTTCGGAGATCCGATTTAAAATATCTAAGTGGGAGAAAATCACATCCTAGCACTAAAAAAATATTGAGAATGAACAATAAATTATTTTTACT